AGAAACAGAGAGAAAGGTCTTCCATCAGTTGGTTCACTCCCCAAATGGCCACAATGGCCGGAGCTGCATCATTCCGAAGCCAGGAGCCAGGAGCTTCCTCCCGGTCTCCCATGTGGGTGCAGGGGCCTAAGGACTTGGGCCATCTTCTACTGCCTTCCCAGGCCACAGCAGAGAGCTGGACTGTAAGAGGAGCAGCCAGGACTACAACCGGCACCCATATGGGATGCTGGCCCTGCAGGCGGAGGATTAACCTACTGTGCCATAGCGCCGGCCCCTTTTATTAGATTTCACATTGAGTGTGGACACACTATGGGTCTGAACACATATATAATGATAGGTATCCATCATTACAGTGTCATAAAGCGTAGTTTAACTGCCCTAAGAATTCTCTGTGCTCTGATTACTCATCATTCTCTCCTCCTGAACTAATGGTAACCACTGATCTTTTCACTGCCTTTCTAGTGTTGCCTTTCTCAGAAGTTTTATTGTTGGCACAGTACAATATTTACCCTTTTCCAGATAGGCTTCTCTAACCTAGCAATGTAGGTTAGGTTTCCTCCGTGTCTTGATAGCTGTGTCATATCACATTGCCTGGTTGTATAACTTATTACTTATCCACTCACCTACACAATGCCATCTGGGTTGTTTCCAAATTTTGGAATTTTTGAATAAAGCTTCACATTTATGAGTATGTTCTTGTGTGAACATGAGTTTTTTACTCCTTTGAAAAAATATTGACAACACACTTATCAGACAGCATGGGAACAGTAAGTTTAGTTTTATAAGAAACCAGTAGGGGCCGGCGCTGTGGCTCACTTAGTTAATCCTCCACTTGCGGCATACCCTATGGGCACCAGGTTCTAGTCCCAGTTGCTCCTCTTCCAGTCCAGCTCTCTGCTGTGGCCCGGGAAGGCAGTGGAGGATGGCCCAAGTGCTTGGGCCCCTGCACCCACATGGGAGACCAGGAGAAGGCACCTGGCTCCTGGCTTCATTCGGTTTGGTACAGCACCAGCCGTGGCAGCCATTTGGGGAGTGAACCAACGGAAGGAAGACTTTTTTCTCTGTCTCTCTCTCTCTCTCTCTCTCTCTCTGTCTATAACTCTACCTGTGTCAAATAAATAAAAAAGAATTATATATAAATATATATAAATAAATAATAAATATAAATAAATAAATAAAAAAGAAACCAGTAAACTCTCCCATAGAGGCCGTGCCATGTGCATTCCCACCATCTATTTTTGTATGTTGACTGAATACTCAAGAAAATTGTTGAGGTTTTTTCGATTAATTCTAATGAGTTGTCTGTTGATTTTGTACCCAGACATTCACTAAATCGGTGCATAGTGACAGTTTGTTTCTTCCTTTCCACTCTGCTGCTTTCTCTTGCCTCAGAGCACTGTCCAGGGCCTCCGCACAATGTTGAAACAAGGGTCAGCAGCAGTCACCATTTTCTCATTTCTGACTTTAAGGAGAATGCTTCTCACATTTCAACATTCATGGCCATGGGTTCTTGTTAGAAACTTTTTATCTAAAAAGATCATCTCTTCTCATTTTGTTTTGCTAAGAGGTTTTGTGTTTATTGGATACTGAATTTTATTAATGCTTTTCCTGAGTCTTTTGAGAAAAGCATATGATTTTCCCCATTAACATGTTCATATGATGAATCATTTAATGATTTTCTAATAGGCAAAATAATTCTGTTGTATTAAAGAATTTCTGGTATAAGTCCCTAGTAATGACATATATTTTAAAAATCAAGTTCCAGCTCATTTTGCTAGTTTTTTAACAGCTTCCCAAATCTTTGCAAGTGCAGTTGAACCTTCATTTCTCTTTCTGGCAATCTCCTTGCCTGGTTTTGTATCAAGGAGATATTTGTCACATAAAATAAACAGGGGAAGATTTTCCTCTTTTTCCATACATCATACTTCAAGATATTTCAGTCTTCAGTTCCTTGAATGTTTGGTGAAACTTGTCTATAAAATTTTCTGGGCCTATTGTATGGGGAGAAGCAAATAGAGATTTTTCAAAATGATTCCAGAAAATTTTAAAGACAAGCAATGCTAATCAGGTTGTCTTTGGATAATGAGCAACCAGGGACTGTTTTCTACTTAATATCATCCAACTTTTAAATTGACATAAATTTTCATAGAGCAAAACTTACCTTTGTAGTGTACAGTTCTATAGTATATAGTTCTGTTCATTATGACACATGTAGCTACATACCTCAAAAAATGTTTTTAAAATGTATTCAAAAGATAAGGTTATTGTGCTCCAAAAATTTGAAATCCATGCAAATGAGTGGTGTTCCAAAATTTCATAGAAAATGCATGTTATGAAAACACTGCATGGAATTCAAAGTTTTCTGTACTAAAATAGACTTGTCTTTTAATTCTATTTTTCCACAAAACTTTTATAGTCCCCTTGTATAGAGTTACAGGTCTCTGTTTTAAGACATTATTTATGGGGCCAGCACTGTGGCATAGCAGGTAAAGCTGCTACCTGCAGTTCCGTCACCCCATATGGGTGCTGGTTCAAGACCTGGCTGCTCCACTTCTGATCCACCTCTCTGCTCTGGCCCACGAAGGCATTAGAAGATGGCCCAAGTCCTTGGGCCCCTGCACCCACGAAGGAAGACCTGGAGGAAGCTCCTGGCTCCTGGTTTCAGATCGGCACAGCTCCAGTTGTTGCAGCCGATTGGGGAGTGAATCAGTGGATGGAAGACCTCTCTCTCTCTCTCTCTCTCTCTCTTTCTCTGCCTCTCCTTCTCTCTGTGTGTAACTCCGACTTTTAATTAAATAAATAAATCTTTAAAAAAAAAAAAACATTGTTTATCTATGTAGCCTTTCTGGAGATACAGACAGATGGTCATATGGGTGCACCTGCCAAGGAACCAGTTGTGCCTTTTCATGGCTTATCATTTATCATGAAGGAACCAGTGTACCAAAACCTCAGAAAAAAAAAAAAAAACTCACCCTTCATTCTGTCCTTCCCTCTCTCATTTTCTTTTCCTCTAATTCTTTCTGCCCTAGGAGTGAACCTCTCAAGTAAAGCATCATCTCTTAACCCTCGCCTTAGTCTTTGTTTTAGAGGGAACAAACACTTTGCTCATTAATTTTCAGCTTTCTTCTTTTCTACTAGAAGTTTAAGACTGTAAATTTCCAAGTCCTGTTTTGGTTACATTCTACAAGATTTATTTTTGTTGTTGTTCAATTCTCAACCAACACTTCTTCCCTCCAAAGAGTATCCAGGATGAGACAGATGTGGTTCCGAATCATCTGTCTCTCCACTGAAGACACAAATCTGTGACAGCTCCCACTTTGTGCAAAAGATTATGTTTCTAATTCCCCAATTTGTATGTAAACCCAAGGCCACATCTTCTGTCTTAGCTCTTGTTTTTCAAGAACAACAACTGCTCACAGGAGCTTGGAATCAGTGCTACATTAATACTTAGGTTTTTCAACCACCTCCAATGTTAGTGAATTTGTTTTTTTTTTCTGTCTTAAATGCTTAACTATGTGTTTAAGGGGGAACTTATCAAATGTCATCCATCGTGTCTAGGTAGTCTGTTGCAGAAAATTCTTCAATATTTAAACTGCTCATGTCCAGAAATGGAAATCTGTATGTAACCATTAAGTATGTATGTTTTAAAAGATTTATTTATTTACTTGAGAGGTAGAGTTACAGACAGAGAGAGGGAGAGATAGAAAGAGAGATCTTCCATTTGCTGATTCACTCCCCAAATTACCACAACAGCTGAAGCTGGGCTGATCTGAAGCCAGAAGCCGGGCGCTTCTTCTTGGTCTCCCGCATGGGTGCAGGGGCCCAAGCACATGGGCCATCTTCTGCTGCTTTCCCAGGCCACCAGCAGAGAGCTGGATCAGATGAGGTGCGGCCAGGATACCAACCAGTGCCCATAAGAGATGCCAGTGCTGCAGGCTCCTAAGTATCTATTTAAGAGAATTATTTTACTGTCTTTTACCATAGAATTTCATCCAATTTGTTTTGAGGAGAATTTAGTAGTGGAAAGTTTTGACATTTTAGTCCATGTGTCTAGAAGACAGTGATCAATAAAAGGAATAAAGCAGCTGTTACCTTTCTGGGAAGTACTGCCTAGAGGCAGCCTGGAGGACCCTGCAGAGTGCTGGAAGTCTCCCATGTCTCTGTCTGGCTGCTGATTTCTTTTGTGTTTAGCTACACATAAAACTATTGAACTGGGTAGCAAAGACTTGGACACTTTATACGTCTTAAATTATATCTCAATAGTTAGAAAATAAATGAGAATGGATTTCCACTAACATGTTCCAATGAATTGAGAAAGATTTTGTAAGTGGGCTCTGAGAGGACTGGAATTTAGTGTTAATGAATGAAAAGACTTTTCCGTAAGAACCGGTTTGTCTTTAGGCATCCAGAAGCTGAGAGAATCAGCCTTCTCTCTCTGCCACCCTCACACAAAATGATGATGCACAAATGCACCAAGAGTCGATCCGTGTTTGTTGGTGGACTTGGTGTTAGCACAGACTGTTTTGTATGGATTCAAAGCATTTCTTTTAAGTTCACATTTTTTATTAATTAACTCTAAAAGCTAGTTGAGCACAAAAGCAAATTTCTGGGAAATGATGGAAGAATAAAATGTCACGTCAGGTGCATCTTGACTATTTTCTAAGTAGTTTTTTAACGAATTGGCCAATTATAGATGAAATTTCTTTAGTTTATTTCCAAGCTGTTTGGGATCAGTCAAGTAGGAAGCACATTTTCAAAAGCTGACATGATCACATATATGATTATATGGAAGTGGCACACAGGGGTAGAAAGGGGTACCTGAAAACTGGTTCTTGTCTCCACTCAAGTTCCTGTGTCATTTCTCTAGTGAACTCATTAATTTTCTACAAGAAAAATCACTTGACATATTTTAAGCTGGACATGCATGGTACCAGGACACTAATAAGAGCTTACCTTCTTACTTGAGTTATTTCAGATCATCCCAATAAATAGTCAGTTACCTTTAATGAAGCTTCTTGGAAAATTCTCCTTCTTTCTGTTCCTTAGCGGAGTGCTAGAAAATTCTAGCAGATGGTTTCATTCAGGATGCACATGCGGCCTCTCTCCCCAGTGAAATAGGGCAGCTGCTGTAGGCTTGTTGCCTGTCACCAACTCTTTGGATGGAACAAGGGAAAAACCCACAATCACTATTACATTCAGTAGAAACTGCAGTGGGAATTCAGAAATGCAGCATGAAATTAACTCAAAGTGGAATTTGCCTGAATTACTGGAACTCATATGAAGATGACCCTTTTGTAAAAATTGTTTTGCTATTTGTGATGGATTCAGCTGGTCAAGATCTTGGCTTTATCAGCTTGACCTCTGAGCTTATTAAAGCCTTAATAGTTAACAAAAAAGCTGTGGGCAAGCCAGTGGCACTTAGGGCAGTGAAGAGCAGGAAATAATGGGGGCAGCCAGCCTTCAAAGGAAGACCTCCCTCTTAGTTCCAGAGTTCTACTGTGTAATAAAGGCTGGGATCTGAGATACAGACACGGCGTCATGACCTAAGAAGGAAGTTCCTTTAACAAGCTAGGAAATCCAAGGACCAACTTGCTCAAAGTTCTTTGCCAAACATATATGGCAAGCCATTTGGACAGGTAAGCTATGTCCAGAATTGTCACTTACCTTTGTGTGATATCATTTTGCTTGTATTGAGTCTAAATCAGTAGCTATAGCTCCCTCTTTGTGGGAAGAGGCCATTCCAATTAAAACACATTGTCCAGTAAATAGTAGAGGTAGGAACTTAATATATGTTTATTTAATTGAATGCAAGTACACTGTGTACTTTACTAGAGCACATAAGAGTTTGTATCTTTTTTTTTAAGATTTTATTTGTTTATTTGAGAGGTAGAGTTAGAGAGAGGGAGAAACAGAGAGAAGGTCTTCCATCCACTGGTTCACTCCCCAAATGGCCACAACTGAGGCCAGTGCTGAGCCAGTCCAAAGCCAGGAGTCAGGATCTTCTTCTTACGTGGTGCAGGGGCCCAAGCAGGGCCTTTCCCAGGCCATTAGCAGAAAGCTGGATTGAAAGAGGAGCAGTCAGAGCACAAACCAGTACCCAAATGAGATGCCAGCACTGTGGGTGGAGGGTTAGCCTACTATGCCACAGTGCAGACCCCAAGAGTTTGTATCTACTTTATTTTTTATTTGAAAGAGTTATACAGATAGAGGTGGAGACAGAGAGAGATCCTCCATCTATTGGTCCACTCCCCAGATGGCCTCAACGGCCAGAGCTGCACCCATCTGAAGCCAGGAGCCTCCTCTGGGTCTCCCATGTGGGTGCAGGGGTCCAAGGACCTGGGCCATCTTGTATTACTTTCCCAGGCCACATCAGAGAGCTGGACTGGAAGAGGAGCAGCCAGGACTAGAACCGGCGCCCATATGGGATGCCGACGCCTCGGGCCAGGGCTTTAACCTGTTGCGCCACAGCGCCGGCCTCAAGAGTTTGTATCTTAAAAATGGTTACTAGATCTATATTCATGGGATCCTCCAAGTTCTTCACTGAATCTGTAAGGCAAGTACCAACCTAGCCTCCTAGGGCAGGATGGCATGACTCACTGGGAAATAGAATCGGCTGTTCCTGATTTTAGACGTTCTATTCTTTCCAGCTCATGGAAACTGATACCAGGATTCTGGTTGCATTTCCATCACTGAGGAGCTTCCTTTGGGGGATGGGGCTCTGTGTTTTTGGGGTCATTAGCTCTTGTCAGGGGTGCTGAGCCACCGGGACTGATAGATTTTGTGTGTGTGGCCAGAGAGGCATATAGGGGAAGAGGGAAGAATATCCTACGCAGAGAGAATGACATAAAGTCATGAAAGCTAAAAGATATATGGACACAGTAGTTCAAATTGGCCTTGAAGGAATAATGGGACATATGATTGGAAATGCTCAGTGATGTTGTATTTCAGAGACAAATTCAAGATATTTACAGAGCACATCCACAAGATCCACATCTCGAGGTATAAAGTCCCAGTGGTGAGCAAGGTAGGTCCCAACTCCTACAGAGCTCACCTGTCAGGCCAGAGCTAGCTAAGTCTCTGCTTGTAAACAGCAATGCAAACTTGCTTCGTTACACAGAGAGATACCCTTGATGCAGCAAAATGGCCCACCGTGGTGTAGGGGTTAAGACACCAGTTGGAAAGCCTACACGTCGTATCAGAGGGCCGGGGGGTTGAGTCCCAGCTCTGCTCCTGATCCTAGTTTCCCAATAATGTGCACTGTGGGAGGCAGCAAGTGATGACTCAAGTAGTTGAATCCCTGCAACCCAGGTGGAAAACCTGGATTTAGTTCCTGACTCAACCTGAGCCACTGAAGGCAATCAGGGCATGAACCAGAAGATGGGATGGGATCTCTCTGTCAGTTGGTCTCTCCATGTCTCTCTCTCTCTCTGTCTTTCTCTCTCTGTCTCTCTCTCTCCCTCTCATCTGTTTGTCTGACTCTCAAATAAATAAATTAGAGAGAGAAATTAAGAAAGAAAAATGGTACACTAAAATTGGGGGGGGGGTCCTCCCAAAGCTTTCTAGATGATTAAATAGCCATTAAGAAGGAAGAGGAAAAATAAATTATTTTCTGCTTAAAACAATGTCCAAGTATGAGTTAAATAGAAAGTAACCATAAAAATAAAAAGAAAGAACATATGTCAAAAACTGTGTGCATGCAAAGAAACATGTTTGCTGTCCCACTAGATGTAGAGTTGTAGGAAGGAAGATATCACAGGCAACTGAAGTTCCTCATTTTAGTGAGTAGGAGAGCAAGGATGACATCTCAGTGTGTACTTCATGATCAGGAAACCTACCCAGCAGAGGGGGTGCAAAGAGAAAATAAGGTCAGTTTGAGAGACAATTGAGGTGTTTGCAAGGGAACACTGTAATACCAGACAGTTGAGCCAGGGTAGAGGACACACATTAGCAGGAAGGCTCTGTCATCAGTGAGGAAGTGACCTGTCCTAAGAACAACTGAGATCACCAAGGGAGAAAAGGCAACAACAACAAGGGAGAGAGCAAGTTCAAAAACTCTTCAAAATTGCTGGCTATCCATCTCCAGAATGTATGTAGCAGGAAAGGTAGGGAGCAACCCAGGTATCCTGTAGTAAGGGTCTGGTTGAATAAACTGTGCAAAATGCACACAATGGAATATTATCCAGCTGTTCCAAAGAATGAATATCTTCATGCATTATTAGGGAAGAGAGGGTATCAAGTCAAAAGCAAGGCGTAGAAGTACATGTAAGTGCTACCTTTTATGTAAGGAAGGTAAACAAATAGGAATATATAAACATTATTTCTTATTTCAGATGAAATAAAACACTGGGTGAATAAACAAGAAACTAGTAAAAAAAAAATTATTACCTGTAAGGATTGAGAAGAGGTAGAGGAGACAGAACCAGAGGGGATGACTGCTCAGAGTATACCTTATTCTGTTGTAAGTTTTGAACCAAGTAAATGCACTAGCAGTTCAAAGTATGGACTTAGAGAAGTATGGAAATGCAAAGTGCATAGCCCTGTGTCTGGTGTAAGGGGGTTGAGAACTGGGTTCTGTTTCCAAAGAGGAGCAGGAAGTGATGGTGGAGAGAATTAACTGCCTCGGAGGTTTGGACCTTGAAAAAGAAGAGGTAGGAATGTGAAAATGTACAAGGAAAGAGAAGAAATTGATGAGCCCTGGCCCTTTGGGCATATTTACCTCTTACTCGGTCCTCTGTAATCCCTGATCTGTAGTCAAACCACCTTCTCTTGCCTTTACCTGAACATTTTGAGACTCTGCCTACTTTTGCTGCTACTTCTACTACATTCCTACCAAAGGAAAAGCCTTTCTCAGTTTTTTTCCATCCATATGAATCTCTATTCAATAGATATCCAGGCATCTCCATACATGAAATGCAAAGCATCATGATACACTCCCTCCCTGGAAGAGTTCCCGGTCTATTGAGACAGAGACAGATGAATAATGCAGAATGGCCTCAAACAATTTCTCAGATAGGTGACATTTACTCTAATTAGTGAAAACGGAGCAGGGGAAGAGCTCCCTGGAACCAAGTCCAAAAGAATCAGAGTGATGCCATGTTTCTAACTTAATGCACCCAGTTTTATATTATCTTGATTTCTGAAATTAATATCTTTAGCCACCTATGTGCTTAGTCACTCTCCTACATAATTGCTTCATCGCCACTAGAAGCAGCTTTGTGAAAATAGCTATGATTCTCCTCATTATATTGATGAAGAAGGGGGAGACTGGGGAGTTAGGTGGCTTGCCCAAGGCCAAAAGCTAATTCCTCCCAGGAGACTATGCTTAGTGCGAAAGGGTTAAGTTTGTGATCTTTACGAAGGGAAATAATTAGTTTCTGGGAAAAGTACTACGAGGCTGTCTCATCCTATGTTGATTCTACCTGTTAATGGAACTTAAATGAGTCAAGAGTTTCTCGAATTTTAGTGATTTATTCATTGAACACATTTATTTTGCTAACATTTCCCCCCATGTAAGCTTAACAGGATTAACAAAAGCAAAGTCAAGCTAAGTAGGCCTTCAGTGAAGATACAAAAAATTCAGCACATATCTGAGCCCAGGCCTTCCTCCCTCGGTTCAACGCCAGCTTCTCCCCATCCATTCTGCTGGACTAAGGTGATAGTCTCGTCCCTGCTTCTCAGTCTGCTTCTCTGTGGTGGAATCTAGATTGTCACTCGTCCTTTCTGCAGACGCATGGCCGGGGCTTCTCTTTGCCAGGGCATCCTCTCAGGCCACTTCTAACCAGGGTACCTGAATTTGCCCTTCCTACTCCATCCTTCAAGGTATGTGGCAGCCTTACATAATGGATGAACTCTCAGTTAAGCCAGAGCAGAGAGACGTGGGGAGCAACCTGAGATCCTCTGGCAATATCGGAGATTCCGTGTTAAACTATAAGTGTTTCATCCACTACCCCGTGTGAGGCATGGCATCTCGCCATTAATCAATGTCACCCCTTCTCAGTGATGAGTTACTATCTGGGTTCCCATAGACCATCTGGACAGGGGCCTGGACACTGGAGAGGTTCTATTTTTATCAGGATCTGGCATGGCACTTACATTCCATTAAAACTGAGCCAGAAGTTACAGAAAACTTGAGTTGTGCTGTTTTTTTCCCCACCTAAGGCCACTATTAACCAGATAAAGGATTTTTTGCACTCTGTTATCTATTATACAACAAGAGAAGGACAAAACAGAAGCCTACTTTCAGTTAAACAAAACAAACACTTGGACATAAACACTCGGCTTCTGGAGCCTGTTCCACATCTCTGAAGAAGGCTGTTGTGGAAATTATCCTGATGCAAACACAGTTAGGAGGCTGAATGAATTGCAGCCCAGTTAAAAATAGGGGAGTAATAATTCCTACAATGGGTTATACCTGGGCTGGAGGAGACAGCAGAGGTGAGGCAGAACGAGAGCATGGCGGGGATGTTCTTTCTTCCTTCAGAGGAAGAAAACCATGAGATGGCCATGCCCGCTCACTCCTCCAGCAAAGAGAATGTGGCCGCTCCTGGCTGGACATCTGAGTAGAGGAAGAGAGACAGCTCCGAAGTGCTAGAGTCCAAATCCACTTATTTCACTTACTAGTGGCATAGTTTGAGCA